GGATCCCGGCGCGGATGCTTCTCTGGATGAGATACTTGACAAACCTTAGATCCTAAACCCTAAACCTTAGACCCTAATCTCTAAACCTTACACCCTAAACCCTAAACCCTAGGGAATAGATCTGAAGGCCTCAGGGTTCTGAGGAGTTTCGCCTGCAACTTGGGATTCCCAGAGCTTTCGACTGACCGTTGACATGAAACGGTTTTGGGTTTCGGGATGTAAGGTTTGGGGCTTAGGCATTAGGGTTTAGGGCTTAGGGCTTAGGGCTGAGGGTTTAGGATTTCGGGTTTCGGGATACTGCAAGACCCCAAATATAACGTCGTAGTAATGAGCCTTGATTAAGCTCTAAGCTTTGGGGGGTTTGGTAGGCATCCCTAAGCCCTGGGCCCCAAAGCCTAACCCGGGTAATGTTCAGGGTTTAGGGGTTTAGGTTTTAGGGTTTAAGGTTTAAGGTTTAAGGTTTAGGGCCCTACCCTACACCGAGAGCTTTTACTTAACGCCGAAGTGGCTCACCCTCCCCACTATCCTCTTGGAATCCCTACATATCCCTAAGGTCCCTAAACCTAATGCCTATATAGATCCTAAACTTAAGCCCCTGAATGAAACCTAAAGTTTACATGACTAAGTTCAAACTCTGGATAAACCTAGACCCTAAACAAACTTGAAGCCCAAACCCCAAGATAAACCCTATGAACTCCAAGCCCAAAACCCTAGATGAACCCTAAACCCTCCATAAACCCTGAGCCCCAAACTGAAAGCAAGCCAGGCTCAAGTGGATCAATTCCTGGAAGAGCGTGCGGCTCCCGCATCGCACGCCCACAAACGTCTCTGCAACGCGAGGTATATCCTCTAGGCTCCTGGGTAAAGGGCTTGGGGTTTAGGGTTTAGGGTTTAGGGTTTGGGGTTTGGAGTTTAGGGTTTGGGGTTTAGAGATTAGGGTGTAGGGGGTATTCGGTTTGGGATTCGAGGTTTAAGGTTTGGGGTTCAAGGCCTCAGGTTTACAAGTTAGGGTTTGGAGATTACGATTTAGGGCGTAAGATTCAGGGCTCTGACATTTTGAGTTTACTCGAACTCAACAAGCAATCTGAAACGATAGCTTCAGTAGTTTTTGGTGGAAATCATTCTGTCAATTTCGGTGATACTGAAGCCCGATAAAGAACATACAATTCCAATCTCAGGGAGACGTCAGTGATTATCATGCTACAACCAGCATTTCACATGAACCTAGAGTTTTTCACAATATCCCAATGTGGAACCAGGCTCACTGAAGGAAGCTCATGTATCAAGCGGGGCTCCACGATCTTGAACAACTGCTTGTCATTCCTGGATCACTGCTGGAAGGAGAATTAACATGAAAATGTTGAAACTTTTTTTGATGAAAGATGTGTTGAACTTTTCTTGGCATAACCCCATCTTTCCTTATCCACCAACATCAACCCTACTTACTAGCAAAACCCAACTATGGGCTTGTTGTTCTCTCTTGAAGCTAATTATGTAGAAAATCAACTTCCAACAGCATCAAAAATGAAGACTTGTCCTAAGTACTAAGTAGCAGGTCGACATCATTGTGTCTCTAACAACCTTGCAACAAATAGCGTAAAGTTTTGTCAACATCGTCGCAGAATCCAAGTCATCTGATGCAATACAGAAACAAGTTCGGGCAGCTCACGCGCAGCGTACCGATCCAGCTTGAAGAGCACATCCTCAAAGGGGGCTACAGCTATTCTAGGGGCCGGAGAAACATCTGGCAACAACCAAGACGGCGAACCGATGCCTGTCTCAAATCTGATGGGTAGCCATTCCATAATAGCTTCACAGCAGCAGGCACTGCTACAAGGCCCTAAGACCTGCCTTGTTTGCAAATTATTACCATGTTGGTGACCATGCCTGCCTAAACGTGCCCCTAAAAGCCAAATCAGACCAAGCTTCTAGCCTTCAACCCTCTAGCTTCAAGACCTGCTTGCATGCTTTAGGATTTAGGGTTTGGTCTTGAGGTATGGGCCCCACATAAGACCTCGAAATCTAACCCAAGTGCATACGTTTTCAGGCCTACAACCGCAACCTAAACCTTAAACCCTGTGGGTCAAGGCCCAACGGTATCCTTGAGAATGGCCATGAAGTCAGGATCGTTAAACAGCGCTTTTCTGGCTGCGACCTGAATCTGGATGAGTTTAGGGCTTACGGTCTAGGGTTCAGAAAATGTTCAAGACTTGGTTTGGCGCTGAGCGTTCAAGTGCTGAGTTCAGGATCTATGGGTATGTGTTAGAGTTCAAGGTTTGTCAGACTTTGTGGGGTGTGGAAAAGGTCCATACTTGCGCAATAAGAAACCGTGTATGCAATCGCACAATAACTTGGATGGAATAATGCAGGAAATCCCCTTGATTTCCAGTTCAGCGTCTTAAGAAAACATGAGCCATAGTCTAAACTCCTAGTATCCCCCTTAATAACCCCTATACTAGTCCCCTGTACAATCCCCCATATGACCCCTGTTTCGGGAGTTTCGGCTACAGCTCATGTAAGAAAATAACCTTGCAATTCCTGGGCTGGGCTTTGAAAGAGCGAAAGTGGCCTCAACCCGTGGTGAGATGGAAATGCGAGACCTGAAGCCATAAAACCTTGATGGGGCTCTCCCAAAATCCTACAATTCAATCCCTGAACACCCGCTGCTGCACATCCTCAGCCCTGAACCTAGAAAGCTCAATATGCCTTAATGAAGGAATACACCTCAAATGATAGCACGATCTCTAATTCCAGAAGAATAAGGATTCCTGCAAAAGGGGCAATTATTGGACACCTGGGAATGCCAGCAGTGCAGCGCACCTCATCACTCTCGTGCTCCTGCTCCGATTTCAGCCAGAGACTCTTGAGCAAGTAGCACACCTGCACAAAACTGACAACAACTGGCCGATTGCTAAGATCTACCAGATGAAACACAAGTGAACGCCAGGCTCTCTGAATCTTGGACCTCTGAAGGGCCCAGCTTGTCGCGGAAGCTTATGAAGTACGAGAGGTGCTCTCTCCTCACTCAGGAGTGAGGGGCCACAAGGTTCAAGTTCGATAGCTACGCACAATTCTTAATTGAAAATGGTGGCGGCCTGCACCCAGCCCTGTTTCAAACCTTGTTGACCCCAGCCGCAAAGCTTTTTGTGAGGGCTTGGGCTGAATAGACTTAGTCATCAAAGGCGTGTAGCAGGCCGGTACAAACCAATCTCTGAAGCCAAACCCATCGAGATAAGGCCTTAATCTGTGAACAAAGGTGTTAGAATGCTGAGCAAAGTCCAGGAACTTTGGAGGCGCCGCAGAGCAATCTAAATTTTTGGGATGTAGGGCAGGGGCATAGCACCCTAAAAATAGCAATGATAGCAGTAATAGTACTAATAATAAGGTTGATCGTAATGATACCCATGATAACATTAAAAATCTTGGCAGTGATAGCAATAATGACAATAACAATAATAATCATCACAATAATACAAAAAAATGTGTGTCAAATGACTTGTTGGGCTTTAAGAAGTGTGCGGAAATCGTTAACCTTAACCAATACGCAGAAAGGCTGCAGTGCAACTGAGAAAACTGAAGTTTTGAGGAACGTCCCCAAAACTGCACCACGAATCATAAACCTTTAGACCCGTAATCCTAGCTTAAACTGAGGGATTTTTTGTAGAGATGTGTGATTAATGAACTTCTTGTTTTTGGAGGATATGATATTTCCGAACAACGTGTTTGGGATGGGATTTGCACAGCATCACAAATCGTGGGTCTACATAAAGGAACCTCACAAAAAGATCGCCGTTCCGCATGTGTCGAATAATCTGATACGTATGAATCCAAAGACGCCAAACGCGAAGCCTTGACAACAGCTCTTGAAACAACTCGCTCAACCCTTATATTGGAAAAAACTATGAATTCTAAACGCGCAGTATGCTCCCGCAGGCCCCTGACAATAACAAAAAATTGCAGCAACAAAGACCTATAAAACTAAACCGTATGGTAACTCCAAGTCTCGAGTTCCGAAGCCGGCTGATGGTCCAAACGTGGTCGCCAGACTGGACGTTTTCTGCGCTCGACCATCTGCATGATTTGAGGTTGGAGTTTTATTGTGTTGGGGTTCTAGATTTATACGTTATGTTGCGTTAAAATCTAAGGTTCCGGTGTTTCTTTGAGCATTGAGATTTCGAGATTTCGGCTGAAAGCTTGTGATTCGGAGTATAATGTCTTTGCACACGTTTACCGATTGCAGGCTTCGCTTGCAAAAACACCTGTTCTTGAACAATAACTGCTCCTCTTAGCAAATTTGGAATGCTTGGCCTAATACAATCCCTAGGATGACTGTCCTTTTTCAAGGTCAAGCTGTGCAGCACACGAGAATGGGGAAAACCAAGTGTCAGAATGACACGTTGGCACATCCGCTCCAACACTATGATCCAACCCTAAGCTTTTGGCCAAATCATCCACAATGTTACGTGCGCTGCCAAGGGATCCAAATGTCCTTCCTACATGTACACCACCACTTCCTCGTTCAAACTTGTACGACTCTGCAAACACTTCTCATTTGAAGGCTTCATGCTTGCAAAATGCTGCGTTTGAAAAGAAAGATTCCAGCTGTAACCCGAACGATGATATTTACGGCCCCATGTCAGGCTGCCCCGAAAAAATGAAAAACCCTAACCAATGCCGCCGAAATTCTCTTTCTTGGGACATGCGCCTTGTTCAGGAGATTCTAAAATCCGCTTTCCTAAACCTTCGATGCTTGCTGAGGCACTGCCTCGCCCCAGACCCTTGCCGCAACAAGCATCCTCTGTAAAGGCAACTCGGCCGCAGGCAGCGCATGGCACGAAAAACTTGGATGGCATGCTTGATACTTCGCTGGAATTTCGGACTTCAAATCAGGCGCAGCCTGTTGAAAACCTGGAATTGAAACAGGGGACATGAAAGCTTTGGTTAATGAAAATTTGGGCATGTGGATTTTCAGGGTGATGTATCTTGGCAAGCATAAAAACACAGTGAACTTCGAAGCATCTGCACATTTGTCAACTATTGCCCTGGTGATGCACCTACCCTAGACACTAGACCTATCTTCCAAACTCCAAGCCCTCGCACAGGGTTGGTGCTGGCCCGTAGCTTTTAAAACGCGCAAACTATGATTTTTTGTCTGCTCGATGAAGCCTACGGCCCATGGATGGCAACAAATAACGTTTTGCTGCGAAGCCTGGCCTTGCGACTGTATGGCTGCGAAAGCCTTCGAAATCTTCAACAAAAGTGCATGCCCAATCACGCAAAACTCTGGGTCCTTGACTGTGGGAAAACGCAGCCGCGAAATGTAATGCAGCCGGTATAGAAACGAAGTGGCGGGGAACGAGGGGGTGATTGTTGAGGCACAATCACAAAACCCACTTACCGACCACCACTCAGCTCATGAACTAGCATGCCGCCCCTATTACATCCGCATAATATCTTACTTCCTAAGCCTTGAGGAGAACAGTGTCGAAGTGATATTCCCGATCCGACCCACAAGTGCAAAATCCTGCCGCCGGAACACAATTATTACGAGAAACTTTTCTGATTTTGATTGCACATGATTCTAAATAATCTTCTACACCACATTCCTGGGCATTGCTCAGGGACCCCCAACATGAAGATAAATCAACCATTGGGTGGCTTATTGATGCGAAGTCTGACATTACTGCTCACGAGTGCTCCCGGCTGGGAAGGTACTGACAAGGTCGGGCGCTCCAAAGGCTTAGCCCTGCTGCGGTACTTGCAGAAATTTCGTACGGTCTTCTGTCCGCAATCCTAGATTAAGCAATCTCAAACGTCACATATGACGATATGTTATCTGCTCGTCCCCGATGCCGCGCAACATCCACAATTGGGGTCTGTGCGGCCTTGACCTCATCAGGGTTTGTGAGACAGGGTTCACAACGGACATGTGACTGCAGATCGCCACCTGCAAAGCCTTCAGCCTGGCCGAAGCCGTTTGTTTTTCTTCACTTGTTGCAGGCTTGAGCCAACACATTTGTGTTGACAAGTCTTGTCATGTTTTCTCACAAGCTGGTTTTCAACTTGACTGTTCACAACATGCATGCAACTGTACTTGCTTGCACACACTCAAACTCACTACACAGCGTATTGGGCTTGGGGTATCCACACATAGTTACTCAGGTCAACACCCCGCCTTGGTGTAGCCTCATGATATCCTTTTGATTCTGGGGCTACACCACAAACTCAGACTTTCCTAAAGTCTCTGTACCAGTAAACATCAATCCATATTAGGACTGATCAAACTTTCATCCATCTTAGATTTCCAAAACTGTACAAACGTTCATCCTTCTAATTTCCACTTCTTGTCAGTTTCTTATTTCATTCTTTGCACCATCTTGTGGTGCTTGGTATCAGTTACCACTGTGAAACTTTCCTTGGACACTCATGTCCTCACACTCCTGTAGTTGAACTTCTCCAGCTTTCACTTCGGTCTATGTACAAACTTGCAACTTTACAACTGTACACAGGCTCACTTAACTCAGGAGTCAACTTCAAGCTCTGCATTCGACGCATTCTCTGAAGCCACGTCCCACTGCTTCACCTTTCGTCATAGTCCGCAGCTGCCGATCATTGTGGTGACGAAGTCGAGGGCACTCTGGGGTATGGTAACACACTCCAGTTCGAGTTACTCTCACCAAGGCTTGGTCAGCTGCAACGCGCCTTCGGTACTCCATCACATTGGCCTCAGCGCTCAGCTCAGCCATGATGGCTTCTCTTTGCTGCTGAAGCTCTCGTTGTCTTTCTGCTTCTTCTCCTTCACGTAGTAGTTCCCTCATTATCTTTTCTCTCATCCAGGCGTTCAACCTTTCTTCCACTTCTTCTTGACTTCCATATTCTTCCTCTCTTCTTTGGTTTCGCCTTCTTGGTCCAAGTTGTTGGGGCTCACCTTCAAGTTTGGGTTGGTGTTGAGGTTCTCCAGCTAGTTCTGGTTGTCGTTGAGGTCCTCCAGGTAGTACTTCTTGTTGTTGAGGTTCTCCCGGTAGTCCTCCTTCTTGTTGAAGTCGTCCAGGTAGCTCTCCTTGTTGTTGAGGTCGTCCAGGTAGCTCTCCTTGTTGTTGAGGTCGTCCAGGTAGT